GCTCCATTGCCCCTTTCTCCCCTCCGTGAGGGCCGGGGTGGCTCCGCGGGCTGGCTCCTCTCGCTGCGCTATTTCAGCCAGCTCCAGTCGAGGCYCTCGAGGCTCTGCAAGAGGAAGGGGAACAGCTGAAGAGCAGGAAAAGGGAGAGCCGAGACACGTTTCCCAAGCAGCGACCGAAGGCACGATGCCAAAGCTGCGGCCCAAGGCCTCTCGGCTCCCGTTTTATATAGTTACTTATGTGGCTTCTCCTTTCTTTTTCCTCAGGAAAAAACAAACCAGGCAGGACAGGAAGGGATTGTATGACACAACCGATAGCGGCCCTGTCAGAAGAGACCAACAACCCTCTGCTGACAGCTAAAGAGGGGCCTGTGCATCATTCAGGCTGCTCTCTCCCCTTACAGAGTGGCTTTCCTTTCTCTATTTTTTTTCTTTCTATTTTTTCCTCTAATTTTTGTTCTCTAATTTCATTTGCCTCTTCGTATTATTGCTCGTCCCTTGGTGGGATGGAGTTTTCTGCAACTGTTGCTAATTACAGTTTTTGTTTCACTACCCAGAACAGCTTAATAACTCCTGTAAGCTCTCAGTTTGTTTACTAAACTTCACAACATTAAAAACATTTAAATACTCAGGAATTAAAATGCTTAAAYGTTATTTACGGAGCCTAAGAGCTTTGTCAGCTACCTCTCCTCCAGGCCTTTGCTCCTCGCTGTTTAAGCAGATACAAATTGGTAAAAGAAGCYTTAAATCCTGACAGAAGAGAAGTTGTCCCTAAGGAGATACCGTAAAAAGCTTTACAGAAATCTGAGTTACACTGCACGAGATGTTATCTCCCTTCTCAGATGTTTGACCCCTGTATAGAAAATCCCAAGCAGCCAGTTAGCAGCTTCAGTGAGCAGTTCAGGACTGGCTTTTCACATTGCTCCAAAACTTCTGAAGGATCATGACCTTCTTTTGCCATTTCTTGCTATTTCCAACGCCAAATTGTTAAAAAAAAAAAAAAAAAAAAAAGCACTTCTAAAAAATTAACACTTTTGCCCAACCAGAGCTTGGTTTAATAATGGGACAAGGACTCTGGAAGTGGAGGACTCTTCCCACTTCAGTGCCAGGATCCAAGGGAGAACCTTCTAGTTGAAGGCATGAGCAGTTTGCCGAGAAAGGTCCCAAAAAAGAGCAGCCCAACCCATCATGARGACCCCTCAGCCAACTTTATTTTCCCAGGTGCTACTTTCGAGAAGGACCAGTTTGTTAGGAGAGTCCTGGTTGGGSGGTGGTGAGAGACCTCGTATGCCTTTCACAACGGCTTACCACAAATAACCCTGTTTCAGGAGTTCTTTACACCCCCTGAGGACCCCATTACGACTCTTTAAAAAATCCTGGTCCTCGGAATTACAGTCAGCAGACTTACCATCATGCTGTTGCTTTGCTCCTGTCTCGCCTCCTGCAAAATACTGCTGAAGAGGTCAAGATAATTTAGATTCTCCTCTATCACATGGGCAAACGTTTCCCTGCGGGGAAGGCAGAAGACGACACACTGAAAACACAGACCAACACCAGCATCCGTAGGCTTTGCCCGGGATAAAGAATCAAGTTGCAGGGGATTTCTGTGATTGTGGGAGCTGCCCTGAGAACCCAGAGTAGGAACATGCTGTGGATGGCCTCACGCTGCCTTGGCAGTGTGCATTTTGCCCTTTCCTTACACAGGAACTGTGCAAACCACACTGAAATGCAGCCATTACAAGAACTGGGAAGTAAGCACAATACAAAGGGGCATGAAATGACTGCTTGCTCCCTGGGAGGTTTAGGTGTCTCAGCTCCTCAGAGGGTGCCTCCAAAGGGGAGCTGTGGTTTAAAGTGGAGCTCTGAGGCAAAGCAAGAGCWCTTTGCTCACAAAGCCACCTCCCGTTTAAAGGGGGATCACTCCTCACTACTCAGAAGGCAAAATTTGCCCTCCAGGAGCAGACAGAGAAGAAGGAAGTGAAAAAGGTTACTCAAGGCTTCAGAAAAATTAACTATTTTCCAGTGAGRGCCTGTTTAGGGCATGTGGGTCTTCACAACGTACATCTCTCCCTGACTATCATCCAAAAAGCAAGAGATGACCAGTTATTTTGATAAAAGAAAATGCCCCCATTCATACTGCTTGCCCCATATCCCACAAAATCAAGGCTGATGCAGATGCACTGCAGATCTCTTGAGGATTTCTTCCCCTCTGCTGGGCTGTCTCAAAGTAAAATTGCTGGTGGAGTGACAAGAGAAAAAGGCCTTCTCCCGACATCTTCTCCCATACGTCAGATAGGACTGACTATCCCAAGATAAAAATAACACGAAGTGCAAGACATTCATTGCACAGTGCTAGATTTGAACCCAAATCCTTTTTTCTTTTTTTCTTCTTTTCCTTTTTTGGAAAGATGAAGCAGCAGACATTGAACTGGATGGATTATTTTGGTATGGACCCCCAACTTCAGCCCTCCACTTCAGTGAAGTCCATTACAGAGTCCCTGAAGTTGCAGGAAGCATTCCCGATTTTTCTGGGCCTTGTAACAGAGCTTGGGCCCAAAGGGAAACTTGGTGGTTACAGGGATTTCTTCTCTGCAGCCCTTTCCCCATCGCTCTTACCCATCTTCAGCAGCTGCCATGGATGAAAGAGGATGAGCGACATGGCCTGCTGAGCTCTGGGGGAGCCACGTGGCTGCTGCACTCGATGCTGTCCCTTCCAGACTGGCACTTACCAGCGATCGGGAAGAGCTCTGAGTCTAGAGAAGAAAAAAAAAGAAAAAAAAAAATTGTTTAGTGGATTTCTTTTCCATAAATTTGTCTAGGTGCCCTGAAACTCTGCTACTTACACAGGCGATTTTCAGCAAGTGCCATATTTCCCTTTGCCTTTTGCCCTGCATCTGCATCACCGAGTTGTCGGCTTCCTTGATGCTATTCAGAGCGACCTCAATCTTTGGCAGCAAGTCGATAATCTTCTGCTTACAGCCCAGCAGCTTGCTATGGCAAAAACAAGACACACAGTTACTTCCCAGCCTGCGTGGCAATCCACTTCGGCACAACCAGGCTGGTTCCATCCCGGGGTTCAAGAAAATGCATGTACAAAAGCTGGAAGGATCCCTGGACTTCTCCAAGTCCAGACAAGACACTAACAAAAAAATGAGCCAGGCAACAGCCCTTTTAACAGCCAGAAGACAAGCTCTTCTTATTTGAGATAAGACACTGATCCAGATAAGAACAGAGAGCACAGCAGCATGGCTGTTTATTATTTCTCTTTGGTTTGTGTTGGCCTCTGTTGCCTGRCGATGTCTCAGCCAAAAACCTTTCTTTATAGCATCTACTGAGGGGCGTGTGAAAATAAAACTAATGAGTTCTCACAATGATTTATTTTTAAACCTGCTTTTGGAAGGAATGAAGAAATCACTGGTGAAATCTGGTTCGCTAAMTCTCGACATAAAACACTTGCAGAATTTGCCTCATTTCGAAGCAACTTCTTGGATGTCAAGGATATATACATGCCAGTGCATCCTCCTGATCTCCTCTATTAAAGCACAGGTTATGATTTTTAAAAAAGTGCCAACTCAACACAGACATAAAGCAGCTGAATTAACATTCATGGGAGAAGCACGTGTCTGTGAATGAAGGTTTTTGGCTCTCATCTCCAGAGTTTCCCCCCCGTCCTTTTCCTGTTACAAAACAGCCAACGTTGAAAGTTTGTCAGGTACCTGAGATGACCAAAGAGCTCCTTGAGAACTCGGTCTTGGCTCTGCACTGTTTGCACAATGATCTTCACCATATCCGTGCTGTCGCTGTAGGCATGATCTGGAAGGGACAGCAGTCAGGACATCAGTCCGTCTTTCTTCAGTAAGGAAACGCTCTGGACCCAAATGTCCAGGGGCAAATTAGCATCGGTTAATAAACACATTAATTCATGCAAAATACAAAGTAATGACAGTAACAAGAAAAAAAAAAAGGATGCTGTGCTTGGGTTGGAGGGAAGACAGAGGAATGTCAGGGCACATCTTCAAGTCTGAAAACAACTAAGACAAACTCACGTCTGAGGCGGGGGAATTACAGGAATCAGGGAGAGCTCCACATGCAGCAACAAGGAAAAATATCAAAAGTCAGCTTAAGGTATTCCCTTGACTCTGGTTAACTTAAATACCATCATTTGGTTTGTCCTAAGCGGTCTTTTCAACACCGTACTTTCCTGATTAAGAATTAGCAGTGGAATTTGAGCAAAAAGCAGTCATTGCACAGCCTAATTCCGTACCTGGAGGCCTCGTTTTTAATTGCTTGTACAGGTCKATGGCTCTCTGTTCCCTTAAAAAAGAAACAGAAGAAAATGTTTCATACACAAACCAACCAACGGTGGCCCAAGAAACCAACCCACCAACCAAGCAGTTGTTTCTTGCTGAATCTGTCCTGGCACTCCCAAATCACACAAGGAGAAGGGCAGAGGTCCCCTTTTCTCCTGCTACACAGGGAAGATCTCACCCTCAGAGAGGTGCTCACCCCCAGGCAAGCCTGGGCTACGACGCAAGATCCACGTGTGTCTCCTCATGGGGTGTTCCTGAATTCCAAGCTAGTCTCTGCAGCGAGCTCTGCTCGAGCYGGGGAAAACACCAAAGTGCGGGAGAGCCCACGTGTTCCCCACCTCGCTCCTCATTAAGGGTGGGCAGGGCAGMACCCGCTGGATTTAGGCTGCCAGATCAGCTGCTCAGGGCCTGCTTTAAGCACCTCGTGAAGAGCTGAGGGGTTTTCAGCGGCCCAAGTGGGGAAAAAACGATGTTTCAGGGGGGTGGTGTTTGGCTTAAGCTGGTCTAAATGAAGGCCGCTGGTGCAAGACGCGGCTTCTCCTCTCCACCAGCCCCCGTGCTGTGCAGCAGCCCTGCTGCTCCTGCAGCACGCGGGCTTAGCAGCTTGGCTCATCTAACTCTGCCAAGAGGGAGCGGGGAGAGCAGGCCAGGAACAGGCACATTTCCCACTCGGGACACGGAGGCGCATTCACAAGTGTCATCCATGACAACAGATTTGGGGGCTATTCAGCCTTGGGCGCTGTTAGACCCCTCTCTCCTCCTTGTCCTCCTCAGCAGCAGCCCAAGCTGCTACAGTTTGGGCCTTCACAGCATTTCTTAAGTTCAGTTATGCCATTCCATATTTCATATTTATTTATTTTTGTCATCAAACCTGAATCTCAAGATTTTTCCATTACCTTTACCCTGAAATACTGAATCAAATTCTTATGTCTCCGTTTGTTCACACAACACAGCAAAATTCGCTACTCTCGAACACCAAAAAATATCCTCTGTGTTTTTCAGTTGAGATTCAGCTGTTGGGATCTGACGCCCATGCTCTTACAAGGCCATTTTCACAGCCAAGTGACAAGAAAACRTCCTCTCTTCCCCTACGTGTGCTTCCCCGGGGCTACTCATCATGTGGATACAAGGCAAGTTAGAAGAGTTTATTCCTGTGACCAAACACTCATGTTTTCTGCACAACTTTTGGGTTGGACTAGATGATCTCTCAAGGTCGCTCCCAACCTTAAGGATTCTGGGCAACTTTCAGGTAAAAAAAAAGATAAAAAAAAAGACACCAAAATGCACAAACTCAATACAGAAATGAAACACACACACGGGCTACAAGCTCTTACAAGTTCTCCATGACCTCTCCTTGGCGCCTCGCGTACGGACTCTTCTGCAGCTCGACGATCTCYGTGTGCAGAGCCATGATCTGCTCGTCTAGATAGCCAATATCTTCAGCCTAAGGAGGAAACACAGCTACACATCAAAACTGCACAGAGAGAGCAGAAAAACGGAGATGCCCACGATCCCCAGGTTGAGTTGCAGAGTTTGGGACACCAGACTCTCCTGCAAGGCAGCTGCTGTTGCAGTTGAGGTTACAGCTGTTGTCTTCTCATGGGATGGTATCATCTAGACCCCCATCTCTGACAACCACACTAAATGGAGAAACAAAACCAGCCTCTTGACATAGGACAGCYCTTGGAGATGTGCACTGCACCCACATCCTCCTGGCTTCACACATGCTTCCACATACACGAGGATGGTTTTTCCTGCCCATACCAAAGGGATTTTTATCCACCCATATGCATTTTGCTGCAACACATCTCTGGTGTTTTATACATCCTTCTAAGCCATATAGGCGATATCAATGTTATGCCACAGTTAAGTTAGGTGAGGCAACCACTAACAATTTTTTGAGCTACATGGCGCCAGACACGTTCTGGGGATTTCAGACACTGGTTACAAACAGGGGTACTATAGATGTATGGTATATATAGTATTTATGCRTAGACTCTATGTGTGACCCATGCAGCTTGCCGACTATGCAGTTCTGATTCTGCAGAGCAAACACCGCTCATCGTTCCTAAAAGTCCAGGGACCGTTGCTTTGTTTTGTTTAAATCACTACGTTAAAACAACTTGGCAACTCGGGAATGTTCTTTTCTAAGGCACCTACTTGCACTAAGGATTTTCTCCTTCCTGCAGTGCGTACAAAACGGACTGAAGCAACAAAGCAGCGGCACGGATGACCGCTCACATCCATCAACATCTTCCTTAAGCCCTTCTAGTAACCCCTACCTGTGCACACTGAGAGGCCTTCTCTTCCATCTCCTTCCAGGCTTTGAGCATCTTCTCTGAAGCTTAGAGAGAAGAAAAGATTTGCTAAATTAGACAAAGATACAGCTGCGAAAATAAAATCAGACAGGACCACGCTAAGTTGATAGAGACACAGGTGGAGGCTTGGCAAACGGATGCCAAGGTCCATATTTAGGCACATTAAGAACATTCTCCTTTTAAGCTTGGGAATGCAAACGGCTTCCCTTAACGTGATTTGTTTGTTAGACAGCAAGCTCATGGCGTAACAGCATTCCCTGACCTTCCCTTGCATACAAGACCTTTAGTAGTTGCAGGACTTCACCATTTCCAACTACTGACTTGAAATGCCTTTAAGAGTCTTTAAACTGCACCGTGAAGCTCAACAACTGCCATTTGCTGAAAGAGAGGGCAGCCCCTGCATTAGTTTTAARTTAACCCTTATCCACTGCCCTTTATAGCGGGATCAGATGAGAGACCCGTGCACGTACTACACAAACACGTACAGATGCCATAAGCCATCTGGTCGCTGTATCTCTCCAGGTCGAGGTGGATGCTCTGATGAAAGAACTCCAGCTTTGCCTTCAGCTGCTGAGACGCCGACACCATGTTGTTCTTCATTTTGATCAGGTTGGCGTTGTATCGAAGGAGACTCAGCCTAAGAAAGGAAGCGAGAGCAGCAGACGCCAGCTGAAAAGCTGACGAGGACTCGGGTGGTCAGCGCCAAAGAGGCCCTTGTGTCACCTCAAGGCAGGATGCAGCCAGCAGTGAAATATCTTTGGGATGGGGGTCTCAGGGTTCACTCACAAGACACGAATCCTACAAACCGTTCCATTCACTCTGCCACCCGAGCAATGACTCAAGGTTTGTGTTTCTTCAGTTATTACGAGCGTGAGGCACCACGCAGTCAAATTCACGGGCTGGAACCAGYTCCCAGCCCAGACCTGCTTTATGACGGGGCTGTAAACTCCGGGGAACCCCCATGCCCCCGAGAAGCGCACACATCCCTTCAGGCAGCCTCTTTATTTACAGAATATTCAGGCTTTGCACRTCAGGAGCACCAACTCACATGGCGGCTCTCTGGCCTTGGAAGAGGCGGCCGTAGTCTTCCTTGAGCCCGATCACGTAGTGCACGGCCTCCGCCCACACCTTGCGCAGCTGGGACACGGGCAGCTGCACTTTACTGTCCTGGACTGCGGGCAGGAACAAGGAGAAAGCACAAGGGTACACGGAGGAAGGAAGGGGCAACCCGAGAGCGCGCTGGTGCCTGCAACGTTCCCAGATCTTGCTTTCAGGGCCGGGGTAGGAGACGGAGATGAGACTTGCTCAGCTTTTGCATGATSTTGCCAAAACTTGACACGCTCATAACCCTTTCGTGTTGCAACTACCCGAGTACTCGGCATCTTCCTGTTGGAATTTGGAGCTCGGCATTCTTAAGATCCCAACAGCAGCGACTTCTCTGAGCTTTTGGGCTCACTGGCCCTAACACACATGGCATGCAAGGCAGGAAACACAGCAATCACCCGCTAAGTCTGCTCCMTTGCGTTACCACTTGGAAAAAAGCTATTCCAGATACAAAGAGTCTGACTAGAAGGAAAAAAAGCCTGATAGTAACGGGTGTTACAACCAAGCTGAGCAAAACCAAACACTTAAATCCTTTTCCTGGATCYGCATGCAGCAATAGTGCCTCCAATGTTATTCTGCTCAATAAATGTTATTCTGCCTGCTAGCCAGGCATCCCTTTTGGCCACTGAACCAGGCGAGATGTGCCCAGTCACGGCTGGTTCTTTGGGGCTTTGCTAAAATACAYTGTGTTCAGGTGGAGCTAGCAAAATTAACTGTGATATTTAGTCAGCTAGTACAGGTCAGTCACTGCCTTGCTCCGTGTTTCATGTGGAAATGCCAGCAGGAAGGACTGTGTATCTTGTCTCACAAGCCCACGGGGTCCCACCGCTCACTTACCAATGTAGTTTACACAGTCAGACAGACTTCGAGATGCAAAGGGGCCCTCGTAGACGGTTCTGCTTTTATCAAACAAATACACCATGTAGCTATCCCAGCCTCTCTGGTGAGGAAAGAGAAAAGAATATAAAATCCCCAAAGCAGCTCCTGCTAGCCCGGAGGATCCTGGCTGCATCACAAACTCACTGTTATTGGCAGACAGTCTCCTCCTTCTACAGAACCAGACAAAAATTGGTTTGGATGCATCCCACTAACACAGCGCCCTCTGCTCCCGTAGGATTTTAAATTCCCTCTCTATACCACGGATGCTGCCCAGAGGAAAACCAGAAACATTCTTACTACACCCTCGATAACGCATTGGGAGGCGGGTTTCCGGGGGTCCAGGCAAATCCCCGTCTCCAGCAGCAGCTCCTGGTTGCCGGTGGTTATTCCCGTTTCGTACTCGATGCGCATCTGAAGCGAGTGAAGGCTCTCCTCGGGGTGCAAGAGGAACGAGAGGATCTTTGCAGAGGTCATGTTTAGGATGTGAACTATCTGCAAAAAGAACAAGACAAATTGATCCCGAGTCACTACCAAAGAGAAGGAACCCCCTATATGATACAGAAAKGTTGATCAGACCATTGGCTTCATATTTTCTGTTTTGTAATTTCTCTGGAAATATTTCCAGATCAGACCAAATGCTCCTTCTTACGTGTTCTTCACACATGCTTCCCCGAGCTGGTCCCATTCCAGCAAAGCTCTAGTATMTACTCAAAGGGAAAGGGCCAAGTAAACGGCATCTCTGCTCTGGCAGAGCTACGTGGTATATGGACCTGGAGGTCACAGCATCAGTAACAGAGGCCGAGAAAACTGTTATGAGTAAATACTGCATTTGAGCTTAGTGAGTCCTTACTGAGATGTAATAAACAGTAACGTAGGGTCCTGCTTCTCCTTCAAGMGTAAAGCTGCAGGTCAATAGAGCTGGAGAGGTTTCACCTTCAGATACGGCCTGGGCACGCGGCTCGTACACTCACCCACTCACTGGTATCMAGGGAAACAGCCCCCGTGGTCCCACTTTCCTTACCTTCAGGTTGAGGATGTGATCCATGATGAGGAAACACTTGGGACGGCCGGTTTCGGGCTCGACGCCTCCGCCCCTCWGCTGCGGATCCCAGGTCAGCATCAGCTGCAGCCAGCTTTCCATGGGCTCTACAATTAAACTAAATCCRGGGAGCCCTAAGCAGCAGCACACGGCCCTCCAGGGCTTCTACCTTCTCCTTCTTCGTAACTGCTCTTCACCAAGTCAAAAACATCTTAATAGAACAGCTGATTGACCAATTTCAAACTCGATTAAGGGGGGAATATTTATTTTTTTCCCCAAACCAACTGTGGTAACACTGAAAAGCAAAGGGTTTTCAAGGCAGTGTCTGCAGAATAACCACCTCTGTGCCACAGAGTTGCTCGGAAGGCTCTTCTCCGCGCTTACCCACACGAGCAGCACCTGGTTTATTGTCCAGAGCCTCCTGAACCACTGTGCCGACAGCTCAAACCACCAGGYTGCCATTTAATTCATTCTCAGCTCCGGTATTTTTTCCTAGAAACCTTCCAGGGCCGATGGGCTTTGGGACTCACCCGCAGAGGCTGTGGGGCTGCGGCAAGTGGGCACTGAATCGCACCTCCCCGTTCATCTCTTCCGAAGCAAAGATGTGCTTTGGGTCCTTCTTCTTGATCTTCTCGTGCCTGAAAAGCAAAGTTCCCCGTGGGGATCTCAAGCCACAAGAAACTCCGCTTCTCCCCCTCACAAAACCCCACAGCTCCGTGCACGCAGCCCCAGCTGTTTTCTTCCCTTTTAATGGACACAGAAGCAGCTCTTCCGAGCATCTATCTCATTCCTTTGCTTTCTACTACTGGCATCAGGAAATCAAGTTACCCACTTGCTGGAGAAAAATGAGATAAACTGTCAAAAATAAAAGAAGCTCAAGAGTTAGCTGCTCAAAACTATTGCTACACACTAGTTGGAAATATTTTTATTAAAACATACTCGCTTTCTAAACTAATGCTCTCATAAAACCTTAAGAATTTACTGTAACTACCTAAATGTATTATTTCTATTTTTATATCTGTTCCGTGGAAACTATTTTTATATTTGTTCTGCTGCAGAATCAACCTTACGAAAACAAAGTTTATACTCCCCTGATATTGCAAGGTAAGAAATAAAGCGGAAATACCAAAATCTGTAATTTAAATCACACACTTTCTAGCACCACCCTATGCACAGGCTACTTTTATACTCTGCTCAGCTCCTTTACCTCCAAATCCTTCAGAAACGTCCCTCAAAAAGGCTTTACCGGCGGACTGAATAAATCATGATTTAAAACTGTACCATCCCAAGACCTCTAATGTGTTTTTTGCATGTTATTTTTACTACACAAGCCTTTCATTGTGTTTCTTACCGCTAATAACCAACAGCCTCATCGCCTCGCTGCATAAAAACCCATATGACAGTATTACCGTTTGGCAGATTTCTTTATGATCCTACTTTTTTGGGGGGGCAGGAGGCTCCAACTTCCCTCCTGAGGGGATCACTAGGACTAGGGACTACCAAGCACCGTAAGAAGCGACTGATGCAAGATTTGTGAGGAGGCAAGCAAAGCCCCGACGCTTCCTGGCACGTTTGATGGCTCTGCTGCTTGGCACCAGCTCTTGGGAGCCAGCATCTCACCAGGTGAACGGCTGCAGGTTGTGCAGGAAGGGTCTAAAGCCCGCGATGCACTCGAACACCATCGTCCCGAAGCTCCAGTAATCGACTGTAACGGAGTAGGATTTGTTCTCAAAGAGCTCTGGCGCCTAAAAAGTGCCATGAAAAGGGGGCATTTTCAACACGGTGTTTTCAGATACTGCACCCTCTCTCACTTCTGGAGAGACAACACTGTGTCTACGCTTAGGCTGGTCGCTCAGGAGGGAGGTGGATACCTCGCACATATCAGTTATTCTGAATCTGGCATTTCATCTTAATGGGCACACTTGAGAGCCAACACAACGTGAAACTGCTCAGTGCTCTCTGCCGTGGTTGTCTGGTTGGATGTGTTCTCACGGGGGATAAGTGGCTCCTAAGGGTTTGCAAAGGGTTCACCCCAAGTTATATATCACGCCACCACTAAGGACTCATTAGGAACTGCATACATAGTTCTCTTTTTTTAACCCATCATTTTTAGGCACAGCTAGATGATTTGGGGCCCAGCTTAGGAAYGGGCTATCAGATACCCATGAAAAGGGCATGCGTGCTAGAACACATGCACATCAGAGTAACCAAAAGCTCCTGTCCCRTTTAGTCCTACCCTCTCGCTGGACTCGAGCTCGTTTTAAAACCCAAGGCTGGCTCAGCTGCCACCTGCTCGAGACCCCACGCAGGGTACGAAACCAGGCAGGGCCTGGAGATCGTGACCCACAGGGAGCCTGGAGGACACAGGTCGGATAACGGGGAGCAAAGGGGTGGGGTGTGAGAGCAGCCCCCTGCTTGTGGGAGAGAGGGAAACAAAAATCTTACCAGATATTGCAACGTTCCAACAAACGACGTGCACAAGCTTCCTTGATCCAGATCCTTGGCATACCCCAGGTCTATGATCTTGTGCACCACCTGTAAACGGTGCGAGCCATCGGCCACGGGAGCAAATTCGGAACAAGCAGCAAGAAAAGCCGGGCACCGACATCCACAACACACCCCCAAAAGGCAGGGAAGCCAGAAGGGAAGAAGCCCAGAGGGCAGCTCTGTAGCCACGAGCCATGATGCTGGGGTTTGCTCTTCCACCACGTCAACTGGCCTTGTCCACCTCTCTCTTTTGACTTTAAGTAACTCGCCAATTAAAGTCCCTTGTGGCCCAAAGGGGATGGATTCCACTTGGCTGTATGCAGCATCAAGCTATTTAGCTCGGAATTTAAATTTGTTATTGATTTCTTTCTTTTGGCTTTTATTTTATTTTGAATAAATCTATGACGGCACAGACAGGCTGTTTTACATGCAGCCCTCCAAGCCACAAGCACGGAGATATCATACACTGCAATTTCTTATTCTTTCTGTCCTCTTGCAGGCAGGGCTGGCTCCTGAATAGCAGCAAGAATTGGTTGTTTTTAAAGATTTTAAGAATAAGCAAAATAGGCAATGGTGTCTCAAGAAGAGTGATTTTTTAAAWAAAAACAGGGTTGTTTTCTCAACGTAATTCAGTGCCATAAACCACTCACCCGCTTCTATTGCTCTCGAGCAAGAAAAACTACTTCTAGCTTCCAGAAATGACAGCTGGAACACCAGCGACAAAGATTTACCTTCCCACCTTCATCCTGAAGAACAATATTTTCAGGCTTTAAATCTCTGTGTATAATTCTGTTCTCATGCAAATACTGAATACCAGACCCTGAAAGGCAAGTATTTAAAAGACAAAAAAAAAAGAGCAATTGTTATAAAAACTGCGAGAGAAGTTTAACAAGCACTTAATGACTTTAAGTTAGCTGACACGTTTAAGCACATGGCTACAGGGCTGGTTAACCATCTCTTTTCCTCTGCTCTGCCCAAGTCAGGCTGACTAAGGAGTTCAGACCAACGGGCCCACGGGTCAAATATCCTGCCTAAAAGGCAAGAGAGAAGGGAGCTGAATCCTCCTCGGGCTTTAATGTGACTGCACSTCCATGGGGACTCCGTAGTCCTGGCAGTGACCCAGCTGAGAGCGACTCAGCAAAGACGATCAAGGTTTATCCAGGCTGGTTTCCAGCTCCAACTCCGGACACGGTTATGGAGGGCTGGATTAAGGGAAGAAATGAGGGCAAGCACCCGGGCAGGGAGGGAAGCACTTTGCCTTGGGGCAGCAGCCCACGTCTAAACTGCCTTCATGGGGCACTGGGGCAAAGAAAAGACTCTAGAGAACTTCTGCCTCGAGGAATTCCTTAAAACGGAGCCTTTCTTCAAAGAAGTCAGGATTTGTCCACCTTGGAGGCGTGCAAGTGGAAGGAAAAGGTGTAAATYGCTTTGCTTTTCCTGCCTACATCACGAGGGATCTTAAATTTTCCTATGCAGAAAAAAAAAATACTCTGTGCAACATGTTGAAATCGCCAAGAGGTGGAAGCTGATGAAGCCTCGAAGAAGTTA